AATTAACCAATTTAAGGTGCTCTAAATGTGCGACTTGATCCAATCGAAGGGAAGTCTTCTATTTTTTTAATTGCCCAATAGATGGCGTTTCAGGGGTGAGTCAATGAAAAAATTTGGTTCCATAATTGAACATAAGGCTATCGAAGTTTGAAGTTACCTCAATTTTCCCGAAAAAGCCCCGATCAGAAAAAATCTTTAATACTCTAATAGGCTGACGCATGCGCAGTGTCAAATTTCGGGTCTAGAGCATTTGAGCCACTTATAGGAAAAAATTTCAACTTCATTTGCCGAAGCTGAAATTTTTTTTCTGACATATTCAGCCCTCGAGAATTCTTTTGGTAAAGTTTCATCATGATCTGACGTGTGTGCCATACCGTAAAACTTCCCAAATGATTTATTTTAATTGCATAATAAACAAAGATAGCAGTCACTAAGATGACAACAACTTGTAAACCAATTCCAGCTAAATAGTCAGTCAATGATTCCGACAGGTAAATGATGCTATAAAGATTAATCAACATGAATGAAATCATGATGAAATAATTGACTGCTGTAAAGTAGCGAAGGAATTGGTCAGCTTTTAGAGTCAATTGTGAACCAACACAGTGCGTCAAACGAATCGATTTAATGTTGTCATCAATTGAATCGGGATGTTCAATCAGATGCTCGAGTCGCTGATTAACACGAACAAAGACGGCACAAATAATGAGAGAAAATTGTAATGGAAAATCATTAACTAAATTGAATAGAAGTGCGTAAATGAAACTTAGGCAAATATTTGCAATGTATTGATTCGCGTTGGTTTGTGTCAGTTTTTGATCTTGTAGGTGATTGAATAAAACAGCTGTAATTGTAAAAAGTACATCAATTGCCAAAAGGATGAGACGATATTTTTTACGTTCACTTTTGATGTAATTGATAATCTCTTGGTCCTCTTGTAGACCTGTTTGAGACCAAATTTTGATAAATTCAACGCATCGTTTCCAATCACAGACAAATACCAGGAAAAAGTTTGCCAAGACTGAACAAATTCCAACTAAAAACTGCAAAACACAAATATTTTTTCCACGCAAAGTCTCAGCAATCAGAATGTTTTGATAGGCATTGTACATGATAATTGTTCCAATTGATGTTGATGCTAGCATAATGAATGCAAATAAAAAATAGAGTAACTTTTTGTTATTTTTGTTGACAATTACCATGAAAATACTCGATATATCAAAACTGTTATCCATTTTGTAGATCATTTTTAATTTGCTGTAAATTTGTTTCCCAGATTGATTTCACAGTAAAGCTTGGAACTTAATAATGTAAGTTTGCTGAAATGCATGATCTCTCACATCAATGATCACTGTATCAATAATGGTAACTGCTCAAGTTCACTGCAAGATGCAAGTAGTGAACAATTTTTGAATCATTGTACAGAACCAAGTGTTGCTAATTTTTTAATTAAATTCAGTTATTATTGAGAAATAGAAAAGAATTAAAGGGCTGAAACTTATCATTTGTCCACAAAAATTGTGGATTCGCGTCATGGATTGTGTAAGGTAAAATTCTTGCTCACTGAATTTATTCGATGCATTACTTTTTGATTCGAATCTCTCGATTCAATCTTTTTCTTATTTAAATTCAATTCATTTATCTTTGTTTTTCATAAACTTTTACTTAATTCAAAAATTGTGGATTCGCGTCATGGATTGAATAGGTTTAACAACTTGACACCAGTTTTCTTGATTTTGGCCATTGGCCTTAAAATTTTGAGCCTCGATATTTCAAGAAAATCTTGAAAATAATGTTATAGCAACTGAATTGAGTGGAAACATTGTTGATTTGTGTCCTGTTGAAGCCCTTACTTCGAACTTTTTTTCTTTTTTCATACATAAATGACCTTCGATAAATTATCTAACAATTGTTTGCAAGAAACAAGTGATACTAGCGATGTTGTTGTCGGTTCAATCAATCAACCAAAACCAAACTATCATATGCATAACGTGTGTAATATTGATCTTTTTGCAATGGGTCAACCAAGAAAATAAAATTGCATGGAATTTTTCAATTATGATAACACTACAAAATTCTTGGAAATGATAAGTTAATGAGCTAATAAAGATAAAATTGGATTGAAAATAGAAAGGAGAAAGATTAATGAATTGTTTTTTTCTGATAATCCGATTTTATCGACGATAGAAATGATCTTCCAATACAATTTACTCAACAAATCAAATCGCAAAAAAAATGCGTGACTCATTTTAAATGTGACTGTGAACATAACAATATTTGATATCAAGATTTCGTATCATATAAAATATCGTTTCAATGAAGATTTAGATGACTTCTCATTTGAAAATAATACGCTTCTATTGATTAAATCATTGTGAATTTTTACTTATTCAGTGTCTAATAAGCTTGAAATTATGGCAAAGGCTGTGATTTTTGTTTTATTTGCTTTTTGTTCAACTATACTTGCTAACCCACTTTGGCCTTTCTATTATGAACATGGTAAAGCTTAGAACCTTATTCATTATGTTTATTTCTTTACTTGTTTTCTAATTACTTTGATTCCGTGTATTCATTCAGATGGTATTGAACACAATTATTCAATTGGCCTTGAAATCGGAGAAATGAATTCCCAAGTTGGTCCATTCCGCTTGTCCGTTTGGTTACTTAAAGATATTTCAATTGGAGCGGTTTCTGATGCGAAACATCAATTGAGCGAAGCGTAAGCCATTCAGATCATTCATGTTCATGCTATTTACTAATAGTCATTTTCACAGTACAATCTTTGCAGGCCCTGCATCGCACAATTTTACGATAAAATCAGATATGCCATTCAGTCAAGTCACTCAGATGTCTTTTCAATGGGAAAGCATGGATTCTTCGTATGCTGACGATGTTAACTTTCAGACTGCTTATTTGACTGAAACTACACCAAACCAGTGAGTTATCTTCCTGTAATATAACCAATTATAATTTAAACTCTACTAATTATTATTAATCGCTTTGTTTCATCTATAGAACTCATATTACCAAGAAATATTGTAACATTGAGAATGAGTATCCACGAAATTGGGGTAGTAGTGATGCCAGGCAATGGCTATACCTGTGCTAATTGTTTGAATCAATCTAGTTTGTTTGCAGCTATTGAGACCTGTAAAACTACAAGAGTTAATAAATAAAAGTTGTTACTAATCAGCTGTATAATATTTCCATTGGACGAGTTGTCTCGAAACAAATCTTTGTTCTTTTCGTGACGATTAAAATTTCTGACTAGAAAATCAGTATTTTAATAAAAATTAAATAACAGTGATTGTTGATAAAAGCGTCTTTAACCTTTTGTCAATTTTAAATTAAAATACTTTATGGAAACAAGCGAAGCCCCTGATCATGACTGATCGTAAATTTCTTTCCACTGTATACAATAAATTCAACCCATATTTAAAGACTCAAATTCTTGATGAAAACCATCGTCAATCTGATAAACTAAATAAAATAAAATCTGGTTCAAACCTAAAAGCATAAAATGACATTTAGGTTTGAACTTTGAAAGCGATTTCATCGAAAACTTATGAAAGCAGTTAACCATACAATGAGAATACCTAATGAAAATATATTCTCGGCAATCTCTGATTCAAAGTATTCTTTGTTTTGATAGTTGATTCGACATTTTTGCCCTTTTGATTAGTTGTTAAGGAGAATGTGCCACCAAAAATTAACAATAAAAGTTGCATGACTGTTACACTACCGTGTCATATTGATACACTGAATATCACAAGGAATGACCTCAGCAATCAATCTGTGAAAATTAGCTAACAGTTTTAAGGTTTGAGTCTCCTTGATGGCAGCTAACATATAGCAGTTAATATGCCTATTCTCAGTTCCCAGTCTTTAATTGTTCAACAAAAAATTGTTCAACTCTATGCAATAATTATAAAAGGCACCAACTTGGCTGATAGACACATTCCTATTTGAGAAAGTGGCAGATGATGTAAACATAAGATCGGGAAGATATTTATTTTACAATTGGCATACAATCTATTGATACAACCGAACAAAAGTGAATTCAATTTAATCATTTTACTTTGCAATTCAAATTTGATTGCAAATTATCGTAATTTCTTTTTCACGTTTACCATTTAGAGGAACGTTTCTCGTACTCTTTTTGTACAGCAGCAATACATTTTGCCATTGTAGGAGATGATCTTGAGATGGAATCAGTTTGATAATAATCTATTAAGTTTCTCAGTTTGGGCATTAAATTGATGGGTTTATCGCTTTTGCGATATTGTGTTGCTTTTGGTGGACTCGGTGAAGAGGGTAAATTTAATTTTCTATAATCATGTTGAACAAGATGAGGTGCCAATTGAGCCATTCGACCTCTAATATCGATGAGTGTGTCATAGGGTAAAAGATGACCGGCAATCTCTCCACATGCACGAACTATTTTCCAATCTTCACGAGACATTACAGGTGGGGTAATTGCTGCTAATGTTTGCTGTACTCGACCTTCCATATTCACATAGGTTACTTGCTTTTCGGTAAAAGCGGCTCCTGGTAAAACAAGATCAGCTTTGTTTGCACAAATATCTCCATTATGTCCTTGGTATATGATAAATGGATTGCTTCCTAAGTCTAGGTTTTCATCATCAACACCAATTAACCACAGGAGAGAGGGTTCATCAGATTTAGCAAGGGGAGTTCGTTCGGTAGAGGGCTTAAAACCTAAATCGTAAGCTGCTACTTGACTAGCATTAGTGTGCAGTACATTTAACTCGGCGCCATATTTGTCACAAATATAACGAACTGTTTCAAAAATATTACTTTTACCATCACCTTCTTTCAATATTTGCTGTCCTAAAATAACAATCGGCCTTTTGGCTTTACTTAGTCTTTGAGACATTGCGTGTTTTCCATCAGCGACGGATTCTAAGACTTTGCTATCACTACCAAGCCATTCGTAATCGTAAGATAAATCAAGATCTTTTGGACCAATTAATGCGATGTCATCAATAACATGATTTCTCCAAGCTTTACGTATACGGGCATTGACCAAGGGAGCTTCGTATCTTGGATTGGTACCAACCAGTAAAATTAAGTCAACTTCATCCTCTATTCCGGCAATAGTTGTATTGAAAAGGTAGTTTGATCGGAATTTACGATCTTCAGCTGATGGTATGCAGCTTGGCTCAACATTGCTATCTACATGAACGTAATAGTTATTGCAGTTCATACTTGAACTAAGATCTTTGATAGCAACCAAAGTTTCTGCATCAATCATAGGTCCAGCAATAATTTCTATACGTTCTGGGGGAATCTTATTGAAAACTTGACTAACAGTTAGAAGCGCATCTTCCCAGTCACATTGTTGCAGAGGAGAACCTCGAGAAGGACGAACTAAGGGTACAGTTAGACGTTGATTCTTCAGACCGTCGACTGGTGCATGCCTAGATTTATCACCTAACCATTCTTCATTTACATCGTCATTAGCTCGCGGTATAACCCTCAACAAATCTCCGCCTCTTTGGCAAACACTTATATTAGATCCAACAGCATCCATTACATCTATAGAGTCAAAACGTCGTAATTCCCATGGTCGAGCTGTGAAAGTGTAAGGCTTCGAGGTAAGGGCTCCAACAGGACATAAATCAACAATGTTTCCACTCAATTCAGTTGCTAGAACGTTATTTTCAAGATAAGTTCCAATCTGCATATCACTTCCTCTTCCTGTGGTACCTAAATCACTGACACCAGCAATTTCGTTCATGAAACGTACACATCGAGTACAGTGAATACATCGATTCATAATTGTTTTGACCAATGGACCAATATCTTTGTCTTCAACAGCTCTCTTTTCATCTAAAAAAGTAGAAAAAATCATGTTTGAAAAATCACTGGATCACTGGTTACTGGATCATAAGAATTTTGGGTCATTTCAAGACAACGACAAATTTTTCCAGGTCTTAAGTCGAAATCTAGATTTGAAGATTTCTGCAAAATCATACTAAATTAGTCCAAACTAGACTAAGTTAATGTTTCAAAATAAAGTGAAAGTAGATTCTGACTCAAATTGCAACTATGTAAATTGAAAAAGAGACCTTATTGACTTGAAGTTCAGTTTAGCTACATCAAAATGTTTCCATTTTTAGTTTCGCAGATTGTTCCCTGTTTTTTTAAACTCTGATTTCAGCACGTGCTGGAAAAATTGCCAAGAAGTTTCTTAATATCCAGAATAAATTGTAAATGCAAAAATAACTTAAATAAATGCTAACCAACTGCAATCAATAACCGAGATCTATCAGTTCCATAAGCCATTGATTGATCTTGAAGATCACATTCTCCTCCTTGATCACAAATTGGACAATCCAGTGGATGATTTAACAATAGAAATTCCATAACACCTTCACGGGCTTTCTTAGCTGCTGGTGAATTAGTTTTAACTCTCATACCAGGCATCATCACAGGCATAGCACAGCTGGCAACAGGCTTAATAGACTTTTCTACTTCAACTAGACACATACGACAGTTACCGGCTATACTGAGTCTCTCATGGTAACAAAAGCGAGGTACCTCGACACCAGCCACTGTACAAGCTTCCAAAATAGTGATACCTTTTTCAACCTGATATGGTTTATCATCAATAAATATTTCAATCATTTCAGGCTGAGGTTTACTTGATTCTTTTGTAGCTGGAGAAGCAGTTGAAGCTTGTTTCCTTTCTTCACTTTTAGATGCAAATGATCGCACAAAACCAGACTCATTTTTCACAGAACTAGCAAGTAGTCGACGGTAAAAGGATTGGTTAACTACCGAACGTAACATAATTAAACAATATTAATTTTTCCACTTTATTATTTAATTTATTTTTGTTTGTTTTGTTTAAGGTCACTCCAAGGAATAGGATTGTTTTCCTTACTGATTTTATCAAACCTACTGAACAGAAACATACGTGAACAAGAGCCAATGAGATTTTTGGGCGCCTAATTTCAATTTTATTTAAACATTGGAAAATAATAAATGTTAGATTATTTTGCATTATCAATGAATGATACAAATTAAAGAATAGAAAAAATAAATTGGAATTTAATGATAAAATTTAATGCAATATTTTCAAAACATAAAATAAATGTGGCTTATTAAGTTGATTTTTGAAAAAATCGAAAAATCCCAGCAAATAAAGATAGACAGTTGTTTTTCAGTTGTAATTGCTTATTTTATTTTCTAAACAATTAAACAGGTGAACAATACAAAATTTAAAATAAATTTAATTCTATGACTAAACTATTTTTCATTGCAATTCAAATAAAAGGCTGAACAAACTATCAAGATTAGTTGATTTACTGGAAATTAACTTTACAATTCTTTATTCCCGTCTTTCTGCCACAATTAACATCACTTCTAATAGCAATAAGTAATACATAGCATAGTATCATAGCATGCATAGAGATTTTTACTCATAAAAAAGACCCAATTATCACATTCATAAACAAATTGACACAAATCGAGACAAATTGTAAAAACGTGTAAAAATTGACTTTCAAATTTATAATAGTTACAGTTAAGATTAGTTGGTTTGTAGGGACATAAGAACTGAGTCTATTTTAGCGATTTAAAAATACCTCTGATGAAAATTTTTGGAGAAAATCGAGGTCAAAGTTGAGACTTCGATTGCTTTTTGTGCAATAAGGGAAGCGAATTTTGTCTTAAAACTTCATTCAACTGATGTGTATGTTGGCGATCAATCATAAAATTTACTTATTTCAAGAAATATAACTTTTCTTTTTCTGTAAAACAGATCACTTCGATCTACATTTAAAGCTGTCGCATTCGGGGATAGAAAGAGTTAAAGACCTGAAAATTACATTTGTCCACAAAAATTGTGGGATAACATCATGGTTAAAATAAGTTTAACAACTTATCACCAGTTTCTTGATTTTGGCCATTGTCCGTAAAACTTTCAGTCTCGATATTTCGAGAATGGCATCAGTTACAATGATCATTCTTGCACCAATTTGATTCTCAACTAATCAATAATTCAATCCAACATAAAAACTTTCGTTTAAAGCATTCAGGTTATAATATTTGGGCTGTTAATGCACTAGCAAAAACTTATTTAACAAAAGAAACTCATCTAAACCCATTTCTTGGTAAATAAACCAATTTTCTGGTTAAAATTATAAATGAAATGCGAAAAGTACTGCGAAATGCTCGAAAATTTGATTAAAGAGTTGAGACTTGCTGGGTTTGTAGGGAACTGAGAACTAAGTCCATTGATGCTATTAAATAGTTTATCCGATGGACAGTCTTCGTGAAAACGGAGGTCAGAGTTGAAACTTCGATCGCCTTTTCTTAAGCTATGGAAGCATATCTTTTCATAAAACTCATTCCGCTGATGTAAAATTTGATGATCAACAAGAAAATGTAATAATTTCGAGAGAAAAATCTTCTACTCTTTTGTAAAACAGATCACTTCGATTTACATTTAAAGCTGTCGCATTCGGTGATCGTAATAGTTAGAGACATGAAACTCATTATCTAACGATAAAATTTGACGGTACAAATCAACAACTAAACACTTTTTTCAACACATCGACAGTTCTCTTGTTTTTGGCCGTTAACCCAAAAACTTTGAGCCTGAATATTTCGAGAATGGCATCAGTTACAATCTTCGTATTTTCACGAAACATTAGATTTCATTACTGTCTATCATATACTGAAACAATAAATTATTCAAGATCCTACAGAAAGAGTTATAGCAATGTCTTTCTTAGGTTTTGAGATTTGAGAATTGATTTATAAATGTAAATGGTTACTAAACACAAGTCTTTTGATGTAGCGGAATATTCATTATCAGATGAATTATCTCAGATTTTTTCCAGTATTTATCTACATTATGCTATTTTCCTAACAAAATCTAACAAATGGTCAAAGAATAATGATTGTAGGTGCTATCATTCTCGAAATGTGACTAGAATTATTCAGTTATAGACTTTTCTTATGTGAAATTTACGCTGATTTCAAATCTAAATTTAGTCATCAAGTACAGTTTTCGATATGAGAGTACAACTCAATCTAATTCTGAAATAAGTGTCAATGAAATTGATAACTTCAAAAGATTAAAGCTTAATGTCAGACTTGATATTACAATAATTCATTGGTAGATTAATTGACATCGTTATAAACAAAATTTATACAATTCTAAATTCTAATAGTGGCAATACTTATGTTTACATTTACAGTCAATTCAATTCTTATTATGAATGAATTTGATATTCATGCTCAACATCCACGTTAACATAAAAATGAAA